GAGGAGAGACAGGCCGAAAAAGCTCTCCATTCATACCAGCTGGGTCATAGTGCATTCCCAACCGCAAGCTGCCCCCGACGAAGCAAGCCTCAGCCGCCAAAAGGGCAGCTAGATTTCCGGGGGTCCATTGCTCGCCTGGTTCTTCGCCAGGGCAGCAACCGATGTCTCCTCGTCGTCGTCCTGCACGACCTCCACATTGTGTGCCTCTCTCACCGCTGCAAGCTTTTGGCCCAAAGAGCCGCTGACAACAGGCCTGCTGGGGTCTCTGCCTTTCTCCTTGATAGGTGTTCGCCTGGTAGAGGACCGAGATCTTCTCCTCGCCGGTGAGATCGATGGGGTAGGCGCCGAGGTCCTCGTTGAGGGCGAGACCTGATAAGGGTCTTGGAGCACAGCCGAGGCCGGGCTTGCTCCAAAGCCAGGCGCCTCCTTCCCAGCAACCATGGCCTCCAAAAGCGGAGTAGTGGAAGCCTTCCGTGGAGTTGTCTTCAGGGGAGTGAGCGGCGCAACTGTCGGCCTCCTGGGCGGTGTTGTGGCCACCACCTCTCGCAAGCGGCTCCTCACTTGCTCGACAGCCGCCGAAGTCATCTCCTCGTCGCTGTCCTCGGTGCCTTGCAACAAGGCATCCCATTCCAAGTCCACCTCTGGCGGCGGAGCCTGCGTCCTGGGTTCCACGATCTTCTCCGGGTTGGCCATCGCCTCCTGGAGCTCTGCGAATGCAGTGGTCTGGGCATCCTGACATTCCTGGAGGGTCTGCTTCGCTTTCAAGGATTCCTGGCTGTGTCGCTCGCGACCCTTGATAAACTTCTTCTTGAGCTCGTCCTGGAACTGGACCCAGTCGGCTTCGATCCTCTCGCAGTCCTCCGTGGCTTTCCGAGTACGGACCTCCGCTTTCCTCGCGACGGTCACAAGCCGCTGCACTGCCTTGACCAGGCCTGCGGCTGCCGTAGGTTGCTTGGCTCTCTCTTCCACAGGAGGTGGCCGCGGATGGTGAGCTGCTGGCCTGGTGTAGGTTGGGTACTCGTAGCCCTCCCAGTCGTGGCTGTCCTCCCATCCACCATACGAGGCTGAGTCCTGCCAGCCGCCACCACGTCTGCCTGTGCCGTTTTCGTTCCACTGGCCCCATTGTGGCTTCTTTCCCATCGACTTGAAGGTCCGATACACAGGGCAGGAATGGTGCGCCTCAAGGAGTCGCACGTCTCTGCTCCAAGGCTGCAGTCCTTGGCAGCGAAGTGCCTTGATGCGGCCACGGGCAGCTGAGCGCTTACGCCTCTGCAGTCGGTGCCAGCCAGGTGACTTCACTATGGCAGCGTGCGCTTTTCGCACTGGGGACTGGGCAATGCGTCGGGCTACCCTTCGCTCGATCCCAAACCCTATATATATGAATATATATATATATATATATATGCATATGTGCATATGTGTGCATGTACACATGCATTGCAGTGTACGTGTGTCTTCACCTGCAAGCCTGTGCGTGAGTTTGGACAATCCGCGTGAACAATTTCGAGCATGTGAGCTGCCCCGGTGCCGCGCGAGATCCTCCACTCTTTCTTGGAGGATCAGGGGACTTAGTAAGTAGGGTTGTCAGTAAGGTAATTAACTATAGTTATATCTACATACAACCTTAATTAAGGTACTTATAACCCTACTTACTAAGTCCCATGATCCTTTAAGTTCAATCCCCAAGATCGAAAGTCGTGCCTCGCTGCCGAGGAAAGCCGAAATCTCACTTTGCAGAGCAGCCTGCTTTGGGAAGCATTACTTGACTTAGTTGCTGAGTTCACAAGCCCCAAAAACTGTGTACTTTCAGTTTTATCGTGGGTAATATTATCCCCAAAAGTGCAAAGTGTATCCACTCAGCTACTAAGTGGATCTTTGTACGTCCAGGGCTAGGACAAAGATCCGAAGTTAGAGTTTTAGCCCGAGCTGCGAAAACTGAAAGAACATCCTCTTCTGACTCGAGCTCAGATTCGGTACTTCAGTTTCGGATCGATGGGCTCTGGGTGAGTTTGGGCCGGATTTCATGAATGCCCTGGCCTTCATGTCTCGCAGGATCTGCTCGTAGACGCCCATATTTGCCTTTCAATTCAGGGTAACTTTGACCATTCGGCATACTCTGCTCCCTTGCGACTCGGTTCAAATCTTGATGGCTCTTGCCCTTTACACACGTGCAGCTCAGACACAGCTTGGCATACCTGCCTTCAAACCTAAATCTCGAAGGCATCCTGAGTCTTAAGGCGTCACGGCACTTCGTGTTTTCGGACCAAGGACATCCCCATTCCCACGAAAGCTTCCTGGGATCTGGGAGCTCCGATGAAAGCTTCGCCGGGCGATTCGGGCCTGCTGGAAGCTCTGTGCTCCGAAAACGAAGGGCAGTCCATCCAGCACTTCGCGCACGGTAGCAACCAACATTCCTGCCAATGGGTGCGTGTCACAATTAGGGTCCCGTTTTGGGTCCTTATTCTGATACGGCACCTATGATTTAAGGTACCCGAAATGGGACCACCCCAATCGAGAAGCTGTTCGGATCCTTCTTTGCAAGCACCCGCATCAGACGAAGGTCCATTTTCCCTAGAGCATACTTGTCCTGACGGTTTAGGGTTTAAGGCTGAGGCTTTGTCAATAACTTCTGAAAGAACCCTTGAGAAATTAAATGCCCCAAGCCTCAACCCTACAGCCCTGAGCCCAAACACACCTTCGTAAAGTTACTGTCCTCTCCGTGTTCGTGGTCGACACTGCTGCCAGGCATCTGGTCGCTTTGATCGCATCTCCTGTCGAGGCACTCGCTCTTCGTGACCCTCGCCATCAGTACGATTTCGATCGCAGATAATTTAACTATTCATATCACGCATGATAGCAAACGGACTCTGAGAATTGTACGAAAACTTATGCTTGCGACAACTGGGATCTCCTCCTTCCTCGACTATAACAGGAGAGGTTCGAGTTGAAGTGAGCACGGACAACGGATTTGAATATGTGACCCCAAATCTACGACCCGAAATCTCGGAATCCTTCGCATAAGCTTCCTAATTTCCAGAAGCTGCCGTACCCTAGGTGCCCAACCCTCCTTAGCCTAGCACCACCCTGAATTCCGGTCCCGCTGCAGGCTCGGGTCGGGAGCACGCCAATGCACCAAAATGGAGTGCCCTCGGTTCTTCGATTGCAGGCATAGGCTTAGGGCGTGTTGCAGGGCCAGGTTCAGGGCTCACGGGGTCACGGGGCTTGTTGGTGCAGAACTTACCTTTGAGGTTACAATTCTCACTACTATTGCTACCATTCTTCCATTCCCTACTACCCAAAGCTAAGAGAAGGCGGCTTTATCTTTCAAAATCGCCTTTGCTGCGATCCGCAGTGGAGTATGCCAGCATCCTCGGGCACCCCTTGTGAGATTGAAGCTTACTTCCATATGGTAGTATCAGGCTTTGCAGCAAGAAGGAAGCATATCGAGAAAGTTCTGAAAGAGCTCTGCCCAATATATTCCTCGATTTCTCAAGACCGCAGAGTTCAAAGCAGCTAAGCACAAGCTCCCCATCCATTCTCAAACCCATATCCAGAACCCGAAGATGCAAGCAAAACCGCGAATCGCTTGTGGACGCACTATTTTGTCTGATTTGTTTGTTGCTTTGCATGATACCTCTACCTTTGCACTACACCATAGCGCGTGACTTACTTATAGAAACTCAATACAGCTGATTTTCTTGATTTTCTGGCGTTTTTGTACCAACTGTTCTATCCCAAAATCGAAATGCAGCCTACTCTTTACCCTATATGACAACTTCTGCTTCAGCAGAATTTAATTGCCGTATTTCCAATGCAGAGTAGATCAGCACAGTATAGTTCTGCCAAGTCGTCCGACAAGTTACCATACCGTTGCAAGTTCTGCTGGGATGTGTCATACCAGATTGAGCCACGTTCCACTACTGCACTTCCTTCCCCTGTCTACTAAGCTGTTTTTATTGCAAAGAGCTTTCCTTCATGGCTTGGGGTTGGAGCTTCTGGGCCACTGAGGTGACGACAGATTTCACTCTCCGTGGCTTTGAAGGGCCAAAGCTGCTCGATCAGCTCCTCCTGAACCCGAGCAGTTCGGGGCACCGAAAACCCAGCACTCGAACCCGGAAATCTCAGATTACCTGAAAATCACCAGCCCGTAAGGTGATGTCTCGCAAGTCTGAACGAGGAATCCCCCATGGAGCTAACACAACGTGTATGCTACTGCCGTCTGGTCAAGGATGCCTGCGATCGGCACCAAACTCACAACCGGAGATGGTTTCTCAGTACACTTCTATTGGGGGTATCACGCCTACGTCTTCTTAAACTTGCCCACGCTTGATGGGGGCTCCAGCGCTGGTGCCGGCGACCCGCGCTCGCCATTCCACAGAAGCACGAGTTGCACCAAGCCTTTCGGATGGTGTTGCGTTCTTGGTTCAGCTACCTGCAACCGTCTATCCTGCAAACTAATCAAGGTAATGTAGGAACCTGATTAAGAAACCCTCGCCCTATGAGGATACATTTGGGAACCCTAATAAAGACCTAAGGCTTTTAAGTCAGGTTCCTATATTGGCTCTCAAGCGAAGGAGTTTGGTTCTGCCCCTGCGGCCCGTGGTATGTGACTCTCCACTGGCGGCTCGACTCGTCGCTGAGATTTGCGATACACTTTTGCTTACAAGCCCCGACTTGTCCCATATCCTTGGGAGCTGAAGGTTAGCCTTTTGGGAGTATCTTGGAATCACTTTGGGATTGTAATGCCCCAAACAAGTTAAAGGTTAGAGGTTCCCTAGTGTACCACTAGGAGGCAGGCTGCAAGACCCAAGGCCTGTCTGCCGCTCAGCTGTGAGCTCCACATACCGCAGGGCCGGAGCAGTTATTCCTCGGTCGGGAGAGGTATTGGGATTTCCTTGGTACCCACTGCTTTGCGAACGACGGGGCCGTTTTGAAGTCGGGTTTTGCGGGGTGTCGGACGACTTCTGCTCCAGAGCTGGTGGCTGGCGGAACCGACTTTGTCAGCTTCGGTAACTCTCGGGGGGCCGCTGCTTCCCCACCAGGCGCCGTCTCGGCGGCCTCCATCGAACATAGCCAAGATCACCGGCCTGAAGGTCCTGAAAAGCTGACATATTATGGTCGTCTTCAGGTCCCCGGTTCCCTTAAAGGGTTGGTATAAGGGGTACTATATAAGGGTTCCTATAAAAGGCTCTATAGGGGTCAAGGCGGGCCGGCTCCTCCACGTCCAGCTCATCTTCCTCCTCGGCTTCCTCGTCCGCTTCCTCCGCTTCTTCTTCGCCTTCTTCTTCTTCTTCCTCCTCGTCGTCTCCCCAGGGAACAGCTGACAGCAGCTGTTCCACGAGTGAAGGGTCTTTGGAAGTTGCAAAGAATGGGATCAGATCGACGCTGATTTCCAGTGTGATCTCGGCAGCATCTGCGGTCAAGAAGTGCAATACATATCCACTTGAAAGTTGGGAAGCTCCAAGTCGAGTTCGGCCTTCTTTATCCATCGAGCAAACATGGCAAGGAAAACTCAACTTTCTGCAAAAGGGAAACCCGCATGGCTCACCATCTGCGCGAGGCTGATGATAGGTTGACGCCCATCGTCGTGTCACCCGCGATACAGATAATCCCTGGTTTATCAAAGGGCCAAGCGCATCAGTTGAATGCGGAAGTAGTTCGGTGCCATCCAGCTGGCCAAGCTGCATGTGCCCGTCGGTGTCCGCATGAACGAACACTTCGGCTGCAGACTTCTCCGGAGCATGCTCGTGATGAAAATCCAGCAGTTCGCAGCCTGCATGTCGGCGTCCATCTCGAGTTTCACTTTTTGTTGTGTATGGTCGCACCTTCCAAGGTAGTGGCACTCCACGAAGTATCTGCTGCGCAACTTGGGAGGCAGCAGCTGCATGCTTGTTGATTGTTTGTGCTGTTGGTCCACTCATGAAATGCTCTTCCCCGTTGCCCATCTCAGCTGAAAGCTCCACAGACGATACACGTGCAGGCCAAGCATGATCCAGAAATATCGGTAAGTGAATCATGTGCAGACCATGCATCCATGTGTTTGCTGACAAGACAATGGCTTGAACAATGTCTTGAAGGGATGGCATGGGCAAGTTAATTCCTTGTGGTATCCGCAGCGCGTGATAACACATTCGAGTCAGAGAAGCGAAGGGCTTCAGAGCGGCTTGCCATGACTGGCAAACGGCGGAACATACACGAAGCTCTCGCCACAAGCTGACCGCGGTCAAGATTCCTTCCAAGGAGCTCAGACCCCAAACGTTGTTTTCAAGCCGCCCACCCCGCCAATCTGCGTGAGTGTAGTTGAGCAGCATGTCCAAAACCGAACAGCTGCTGGGATGCATTAGCATAGATGTCTGCCTTGAAGCTGGTTGCACGATCGAAACCTCTTTGTAGATGCTGACAAGAGGACCTCGCAGTGCGCGGAAGTGTGAGGTTCCTGGGATCCTTCTGCTCAGAATGTCAGGAAGTAGGGTCGAGGATGTGCGATCTGTTTGTGAAGGGGCTTAAGCCCTGAACCCCAACCCTCCTCAGCCCCACACTTTTCAAAGCTGATCGCCAACACCCCCAACCCTGAACTTAAAACTCTGAAGCCCTGAACCCCACCTGGCCCTGGGCCAATCACAGGCTCCCAGCGACCGAGTGGACTTGCATCTTTGCGAACGTACAGAAGCTGAGGACCATCAAAGTTGCTCAGTCCCAAAGACCAGCGCCGCTCACACAAAGGGTGGACAGCCTCAACATCGGCAAGGAGGCACCACAGTTTAAGCTGATCCACGTAGATGATGGACACTAAGGGCCCCAAGTCGAACTTCATCTCGCTGGTGCGTTGGAAAACACCAATGCAGTGGTCCCATCCACAATACTGGACGTGTAGCAGCGATGACCCTGGAAGCACGGGCCGTGTCACAGGTGGCACCTCTTTGCTGACGCATCCTCTTACTGCTCGCAGTGCCTCGTGCCAGTCGTGAATGCATAGCTCCTCAGAGACGGGTGGCCGACAAGCGAGCGTTGCAACACCGGAGCCTGTGCATTGTGACTGCGGCAGAACCACATCGCAGTGCTTCATACTCAAGGACCCACCAGCCCAGTTGGCAGACAGCTTCGCTGGGTACCATGTCTTATGGTCTCCACACCAGGCCTTGAGGCGCAGGGAAGAATCGTCAACAACTTCTTCGACATTGAACACCTTTTCGACGAGAAGGTGAATGTCGGTGTCGAAAACGTGCAGCGTAACATTCTTCATATAATTACTGATTTTATGCGGACTCGTTGTACGGACGATAGATTCGGACGGGTCCACACTAGCAATCTCCACGCAAACGTTGCGCCAGATCGAGAATCGGCCGTGTGTTGACCGATTAACTATGAAGGTCTCTCGCTGAAGTTCCGGCAGCCCTTCCACCTTTATCCGCGCGCCTGCAGGGAAGCCATGGCTAGCGGCTGCCAGCGTTGTCGAGTACTTGCTGCACTCCACCTTCGCGATTCGAACGGCAGCAGCCATGAAGGATTCTCTGGCAGTCTGGTTCCCAGAAACTCCAATAATATCCCTTAATTAAGGAATATTCCGGATCCTATTATAATTTAAGGTACATTCCTTTATTGAGGGATATTGGAGTCTCTGGGCTCTCTGTTGCTGTCACGTGCCAGTCGGCGGCGGTTTAGGGTCTAGGGTTTAAGTATTTCAATGATTGTTGTCGGAAGCTTGCAGCGCTGAACGTGCCAACCCCCGCGGCATCCCAGTCTACAGCCTTGAGCCGCATTTTCCAAGTGTCGGATTTTAAGTCTGTTCCTTGTTCACATGTACCGGCTCCTGCTAACCCTCTTGAAGCAAGCTTGCGATACTGACGGTTGCCGCAACAACAAGACAGCTTCTTTCGCGAAAACGAGCCCCCCCCAATTTGCAAAAAGCTTCGGATCTGGCTTGGTGGCCCTAACTTTGAAGCTCTTACATCTCAAGAGGTTTCCGTATTGTGGAATTAACCTGGCCAGGCGAAACGCACGTGGGAAGCGGAGATATGGGAGTTTCCAAAAAACGGGGGGACCCTAATATCGTACCCTAAGTAGTAGGATCCTTATTATAAGGACCCCTATAGCACACACAGGCTCCGAGTCCTACGCACAGCGGATGCAGTGCGGCCGGCAATGATACGGACCCCTACCATACGGTACCCCCTAATTTTCGGAAACTCCCTATGGAGGCCAGAACTTTCTTCAAAACCCACTTCCTGCGGAGGCTCGCCAACTCTCGGGCTCGGCGTGGTCGAAGGGCAGCACCTTTCGGGCCGAGAGGTGTCTGGTTCCATAGGGGGGGGGGGGTTGCAAGGTTTTCTTTGAGGTTGCCGTCGAACCTATAGGGTTTTAAGGTGTTTTTTTGGTTTCAAGGTTTACCGTACGGGCTATAGTGTTTTCTCCAAAGTTTTCTCCTAGGGCTTATCGTCGTTTTGGCACTCGAGAACCACCGCAAAAGCATTATAAGCACCGTAAAGCCTTCAAAAAAACTCCCCACAAGCCGGGCCTTGGGAACTGCCCCCATACAGTAGCAGTCTATAATAGGGCTACTATGAAGGGCCTAACATATCTGTATTACAAAGATTATTCAACTGTTACTGAGTGGGGGCCCTATACTACTAAGGGTACTTTATAGGAACCCCCCATTAAGGGATATACTTTTTGGATCCTCCCGGGGGTATGGGAAGCCTTCATAAAAATCCCGACCTAAATCCCTAGACCCCTAAACCTCGACACCCCCAAACCCCTAAACCTCTAACCCCTAACCCCCTAACACCTAAACCCCATACGCCAGGCCATTCAAAAATCCCAATAAGCCACTTGGAGGTTCAGGGGACTTAGTAAGTAGGGTCAGAAATAAGGTAACTATACTTAAAACTACTTATAACCCCAACTAGGGTACTTATAACCCTACTTACTAAGTCCCATGATCCTCCAAGCACCGTAAAGCCTTCATAAAAATCCCCATAAGCCAAGCCCTTGAAGAACTGGTCTGAAGACTTGGGTCTTGGACAACTCCCTTGAGACTCCAAAACCACTTTGCCAAGGAGCATACCTTCAATCATTCAAGGGCTCCTGCTATACTTTCAGGGATGTTCCTTAATTTGTCATTATTATTATTATTAACATTATTCTTGTTTGTATTACTACTACTATGACTACTACTACTACTACTACTACTACTACTATTATTATTGGTTTTTGTTGTTTTTGTTGTTTTTATCACTAATTTTTGCACAGTTAAAGGATCCTCCTTAACTAGAAGGGCTTTGGGCGTCTCCGAGGCTGAGCACTGCGGGTCGACTCTGAGCTCGGCGCGCCAGGGAGTGCCGCCAGGGCAGCTTCAAGCACCCCAAGGGCTCGGTCCTTAAAAACACAGAAAACAACATAATCTTTAGAAAAAAGGGGGGGTTCAGGAGTTTGCCTGTAGGGGGTAGGGTTTGGGGGGGTATGAAAGAAGCTTGGGGCTTTAGGGTTTAGGATTCAGGGTCTAGGGTGGGTTTAAGAGTTAAGGGAATATGCCTGAAGCGTTTAGGAGTTTACCTATATGGGGGTAGGGTTTATAGGGTTTAGGCTTTGGAGTCTTGGGGTTTAGTGTTCAGAAGTTTAGGGAAGGCGGTGCGGGTGCTGTGGGACAGGGTTTCTGGAGGGGGTTGTTTAGGGGATGTGCGAGGTTTTGTCGGGCTCTTTCGGGCTTTGATAGGTTTTTGTTGTGTAGCCCCAGTGCCCACTAGTGAAGCAAGGTGCAACCTCAATCATGAGAACGACACTATCGAACATTTGAGGGTTGTTGATACTTCAGCTTTCTGGTCTGGGTTTCGATGCTGTATGAATTGTCCTTGCAGGGCTTGAAGGCTCGAGTTTCGGTCTCAGAGTCTGAGATGATTTTTGGCTTTGCTGGCACCCAAATCCTAAACCCAAATGTCTTTCTGTCCGGCAAGTGTGACCAAGGAGCTTCAGAACATGTGGGACCCCAATATGGATCCGCAGCAACAGGGTTCTTGTCATACAGGATCCCCAAACAAGGTCATGTCGGCGCTTCGCGAAGAATAGGGTTTCGGGATTTAAGGTTTGAAGGTTGTCTGCCCAGGCCCCCGGGAGGATCCAAAAAGGAGATCCCTTAATGGGGGTTCCTACAACGTACCCTTCGTAGTATAGGGCCCCAGATTAGAGGATCTACTTTCTAGATCCTCCCGGGGTCGGGGTGAAAAGCCACCATCTTCCGCTTCTTTGCAGCAAGGAATCGATGGCCGGGTGGAACACGGCGCATCCACGGCACCTGCTGAAGTTTATCTGTGTTGCTTAAACGGGTCTACTGGTTCAAGCATGTAATCTAGACTTTTGATGCATGAGATTTTTGGCGGCCAGGGCCTCTATATATCAACATCCCTTCCTATTCCCTTTCAATTGTCGTTTTATTACCATTGTCGTTATTCTTCTTATTCTTCTGCTTGGAAGTGCGTGTGCTTACGTTTACCTCGGTGCTTATTGAAAGCATCAGTCCGATTCTGGGTCCAAGGGGTTATAACTGACTCTGGGAGGCCATGGATTTGGCTATACTGAACTTAGAACCCTAGCAACAATTATAATTTTAGCTGTTTCTTAGGGATTATAATAACCAAACATATTGAAAATCATTTCTAAGTACCCCTAAGTTGGGGCTTCCTAAGGTAGGCACCAGGATCCTCAGGGTTTAGGCTTTAGGGTTTGGGGCTTGAGATCAGGTCGGAAGCGAACACAGACCCCTAGTTTCTAAACCCGGTTTAAGGGGTTGCCAAGCTCACCACAAGGAGGGGGAACAGAGAGGCCTTGCCATCGCAAGATCCACGTCCCTTATGCTATTGATGAAGTACACAAACACAAGGTCGCATGTACTGGTTCAGCTTTTTGAGTGCGCATTCTGCAGGTGTCTACATTCGGAAAAGCAGAAATACTCAGCCCTCTAGAAATCATGCGGCAACTGCGGCAGAAACCTTCAGAAGGCATCGTGCAATCCAGCTAAATTCTCTGCAGTTTCTGCATTTTTAGGGCCACTTTCCAGCGATAGAACAACTCGGACAAGCCCTGGCTAATCAAGTCCCCTACTCATAAGATTACTACTCTTATGACGGAAAATGTTACCATGATACTGGGGTGGTGATTATGATGTCTGTTATATTCAACCACTATCAAAACATCCCAGCGACATACCAGACCGTAAGCCCTGAGACCCTTTGACCACGCACCTCGCCACCTCGAAGGTACCTGGCGCGAGTCGACGGACGCGTTTTGAGGTTAGGATGCTGGCTTAAGGAGGGTCTAAGTAGGGTCTAAGGGTGTAAAGGCGTTTAGGTGTTAAGGTGTTAGGGTAGCAGTTTAAGAGTTTAGTTTAAGGGGGCAGGATTGAGGCTTCAGAGGTTCAGAGGTGGAAGTAGAATCTAGGGGTTTGAAGGGTTCGGTCCTGATGAAGAAATCCTCAAGACGGCTCTTCCTTTGGATCCTGTCATACATGGGGTTCAGATCCAGGGTAGTTAAGATCTGTACTTGACCAGGTCTCTGCATTCGGGAGCTCTTGTCGAGAAAAGGGCCAGAGAACCCGATGAAAACACAGAACGCCCCGAGGGAGTCAGCTAGGAGGTACCCAGAGACTCCAATATCCCTTAATTGAGGAATATTCCTTAAATCATATTAGGGATCCTACTATAATTCAAGGTATATTCCTTAATTAAGGGATATTGGAGTCTCTAAAAAGGATCCCATGACCAAGGAAAGCCCTGGAAGTGGGTATCCGAGCTACAACTTCTGTCATCAGAGCCAAGAGCGAGAGGCCACAAGATGCTCCTGTTGATGACATAAATCCTGCATGACCCATAATAAGGAATATACCATAATTCCCATATAATAATAAGGAATATACCATAATTCCCATATATTCCTTATTAAGGGTAATGCAGGATTTATATCATCAACCGTCGTACCAGCATCATGTTGAGCAGGTCGTGCATTGCAGTGTTTCTGGGGCCTGAGCCTTGGGGAGGGCAAGGGTTGAGACTACAGACTTCTTCGGAGAAGGAGCTAGAGAGCCCAATATACCCCATAATTAAGGAATGGAGCTTAAACCATAATATGAAGCTCTCTATAACTTAAGCCATATTCCTTAATTAAGAGGCATTGGGCTCTCTGGGTCCACATCCTGAATCCCAAGCTTGAGCACGTCCTGGAAGTCAAGCTCGAGGGCATCAAAATTAAACCCTGCATTCGGGAGCCTCGACGCAGGGACCGTGAATCCTCGATCCCTGAGGCCCAACCTCCTCATCTTTACAGAACCCGAGGCAAGAAGCCTGACATGCCAAATCCTCGACACTTCGGCACTGCGACGCCAAGATGGGGGTCTCCAAGTTGAGGCAAAGAAGCCCCGATGAACACCAGTTTGAGACGTCTGCAAGACGAGCTTTCATACGTCCCTCCAAAGACCACACGGCAGGTCCTCTTAACTACTGCACTGTCCACTCG